CTCGATGGGATACTAGAAGTGAAGACAGGAGTAGGCCAAGGCTATTTACTATCACCCATGGTATTCCTAACTGTATTACTCTGTATCATGCGTCAGACTGTAGGAAGCGAGAATACAGGAATACATTGAACCGATAAGATGGCCCTAGAAGATCTGGACTCCATGGACGATTTATATCTAATGTCATATACATTTGAAGATGTAAAGGCGAAGACTTATAGGTTGTCAAAAGAAGCTGCAAAGACAGGATTTAGGTGAGAAAAGAGAAGACAGAAATAACAATTAATAGAAGAAATTATAAAGAGTTCACTTCTTTCATTTATCTAGGTAACATCTTTCATAACCACAAGCGGTTTATAGAGACGATTATGTTGGAAAATCAAAGCAGTCATTCATCACCTTAACATCAGTTTTAAAATCTCTTACACTTGGCATAAGGAACAAAGCAAGAACTAACAAACACCAATGTCGGTGGAACAGTGGTTAGGACTCTCGCCGACCACGCAAATGGTTCGGCGTTCGATCCCCTGCCGACGCACACCTGATATCTATGGTCGGCCTGCAAAATTTAGGCTACCGATATCGCATGCTGAAAGTTCAATACCTGTACCAAAAATATGGTGTGGAATCAAGATGAAATCAAAATTTAAAAAAATAAAAATAAAGCGAGAACTAAAAACACCAATGTTAGGTCATTTCTTCTATATGTATATCGAAAATGGCACATGATGACGCTGATTATGATAAGCATTTCCAGCAGCCTGATGCAAACTTTTATCAACAGTTGCCTTCGCTGGCTCCTTAATAAAGGTCAAATGATCAACAAGAATTAGCAATAAGGAAATATGGGAAGGAATCAACTAAGAACCGATTATTCACGAAATATGTAGAGATAAATGGAGGTGGGTTAGACACGCACACACACACACACACTGAAGGGACTGTTGGGTAACACCGCGCGTCAACCCCTCGCTTGTGTGAAACCCGAACGGGAGTTAACGAGTCGAGCTTCACTCCTAGGCTTTGAATGAAGGAGATTATGTGAAGAGAAGATGAGAAATTATGGGAAATCGTGCGACCAGCTAGGAAAAGCTGCAGAGAACAGGATGAAGCAAAGATTTGTTACTGAAGCCTTATATTCCACGGAGAACCGAAGGGAATCACTAATGTCGCCCCCCTCCCCGCCGCCAAGAGTTGATCATATTTCCTCCAATCACACTTCAGCGTGTGATTTAACTGAGTCATAGTGATATAACCAAATTATATAAACCTGTATGTCATTCATCCACCGCCAGTCGCTTTCAGCAATTCAACAATATCACAATGTCATGACACCTAACTCAGTGACCATTGTTTTACAAACTTGACTAACAGACTTCAACTAGCAGTAACCTTACAATGGGTTAGATACATAGCATTGGCTATTTCTTCTAACGACTAATCAGCGAAAATTCAAAATATGATGCGCATGTATATGTCATAGTTCATCCTGTGAAGTGCCAAAGGGTAACTACTAAATTGAAGTATGCGCTGAAGCTCAGAGAACACAACCATATCAAAAAGAATAAACAACTTATATCTCGTATTCAAGTATCGGTTTGCAGGGATTTCATTGACTGATCGATTAGTCACTGGATTTCATCATGAGCTGACATCAGTTGGAGAATCATTGGAAAGCCTGCAGGGAGTACTGGATAGCTGTTGTGTCCTAGTTTCAGGACTGTTCATCAGTAGCGAATCATTCAAATTCCTACAAACCGATACTCGAATATCAATAAGATGCTCACCTGGGGTTCTAGTGGGAAGTCCTGACCAGCAAAGTACAGTGGGTAGTAGGTGAGGCAGTAACTCATCGAAGAATACATTGCGAAGTGGTCGCGCTACGTCGTGAATTCGCAGGGGCAAGAATTCTTAGACTGACTGGCCATTGGATTGGGTCCCAGTGGCTTTATGGTCTATGAGTAAGGTCACCTTGTAACCAGAAGGTCCTGAGTTGGAACCTCAGTAAATGAGTACTGACGAAGAGCCCCAAACAAGGATGAGACAGCTAGCTGTCCAATACTCCTTGTCGAGGTTTTCAAATGGTTCTCTAACCGATGCCAGCTTATGATGAAATCCTGTAACTAATTAAATCTCCTATCCTTTCTGTAACAATCATCACTTCTTTTGAAAATGTTCCCTAGTAGTTTGTCGCGTATGCTGTCCTATTTGTGACTAGTCAATCAGACTAACCTGCTCTGTCGTCTATGAATAATGCTGTTTCCCCTCAGACTCGAACACTTCTAATCACCGTCATCAAAATAAGTGACTCAAAGTTCCGTAATAATATCTGAGACGTCTTTAAGCCAGAATTATGAGTTGGCTAATTCCGTCCAGATATATCATCAGGAAACAAAAGCCACAATTAAATTATATATATTTTCATATTCATATCTGGGCAATTTTTTTCAAGAAGAAAAGTAATATTAATCTTTCCTCCTTTCAGAATGATACATCAAAGCGGTCCAAGTATCACATTTCCAGATCGTATAAGCCCTGAACAGGATGCAGAACAATTACATAATGCTTGTAAAGGATTCAGTAAGTACTACTTTGTGATACACTTGTAATAAATTTTGTAGTGCTGCTGTATGCTACTGATTAACTGATTTGAGTAGCTGGATACCATCTAAGGAAATAATTAGTACTTATTTCGAGACAGATTGTAACAGCGTATACAGAGTACTAGCTGATGTGAGTTGTATACAACTACTACTCATATGAATCAATCAGTAGTATGCATTGCAATGCATTCATGCCTATATATGTCATAGATAAAATTTGTAGCTCCAATGAATGATTTTTATATGGTTGTGTTCTGTGAGCTGGATAGTTAATCTGCGAAGCTTTCATCGCCCTACCAGGCGATATCTTCAGCGCCTATACTTCAATTTATTGAAGTGAGCTTTTAGATTTCTCCACGAGTTTATCAGTCATCTCTCCCGGTAACCTTCAACGTCGCGATTCGCTGTTTTTGTGTGTTTTCACACCCTCTAGGTTACTTGCGTTGGTGGCACTAATTGTTTCGTGACTTGAACTTTGACCCTTTGTGTGTGAGGTTTCTTTATTATCGGTTGATAAATTTTGTCTATCTCGATGTGTCTATTGACTGATGATTCACTGGATTACCAACCAGGCTTCTAACAATTCCCTAGCATTCTTGTTGTTTCCTTTGTCTAATATTTAAACGTTGGTTGTCCCGGTCGAAATGATGTCCGTGGTTGTCTGTATGCAGTGAGGTGATATGAGGGAGTGGATGTCATGTCTTTTGACGGCCAGCTTATGTTCATGTAGACAGAGATGAAGGGGGTGTTTTTACTTCGGCCAATGTGGTGTCTTTCGCAGTTTTTACAATTTATTTCGTAGATGATGTTGGTTTCATCCTCTTTCGTTGTTGAGTCTTTTGGTTGACATTGAGCCATCTGAGTGAAGTGATTTTGTTGGTTTGTGTTCGTTGTTGCTGAGTAGTTACTGTATGTTCTCTTTCGCTAGTTTCTGTCCAGTTGAGGTATATAGTGCTGTGACGTTGAAGGATATCAAAATTTGTCAACTGATAAGAAAGAAACCTCACACACAAAGGGTCAAAGTTCAAGTCAAAGAAACAATGAGTTCCAGTACAAGTAGCCTAGAGGGCATGAAAACACACAAAAGACAACCAATCACGTCAAAAGTCACCGGCAGGTGTAACTTATAAACTCGTGGAGAAATCAAAAAGCTCACTTCAGTAAATTGAAGTATGCACTGAAGATGTCGCCTAGTAGGGCGATGAAAGCTTCGCAAATTAACTATCCAGCTCAGATAATACAACCACATCAAAAATTCATGCCTATTTTTTGCTCAATGGCATTTACGGTTTCAAAACATGTCACATATGATGGCGGATGGTAACCTAGCAGCATGCTCATTTCGCCTTATTCGGTACCGGTTATGCACTGGATGCACAGGCATTCCCAATTACTGATGGTGTTCTCACTGAGACTCGAATCTAATACCTGTCAGTTTAAAAGTCAAGGCATTTTTTTAAAAAATGGGCTCTGAGTTCGAATCTCAATAGGAAGAATACCAGCATTCAGTAGGGAATGCCGATAAATCCAAATGTCTTGTCCCAAGTAAGACGAAATGCGCATTTCGGATTCCACTGTAAGTCACTATCCGCCAAAAAATCCACTAAAAGTGTTAATCTTCAGACATCGTTGAAGCCTCCGTGTTCGGAGTCAACATGCCAATATAGAGGCCCAACACTTCAGTCCAAGCAATCATACAGAAAACGGAAGGAAAAAAATAATTAAAAACATGTTGGTTTTTAAATTTACACAACAATTCAAATAATTGTAACTCATTAGAGAATGCAATCAACTCAATGGTCGTAATCCGTTAAGGCCAGGTATTATTATTAACCCATCAATGCATTGCACGCATAAGTTCCACTGACCGCAGTCACTTTAGCAAATCGTAGTAAATTTGGTGTCTTCTACCTACTGAAAACCTTGAAAGCCTTTGAAACGCTCTAAAAATGCCTCGTTTCCATGAGGTGTTCGATAACGATAATAATAATAATAGTGAACTTTTCAAATATCTCCTTCCGTATTGGATATAAACCTCATGGATAGTGTGATTTCATCCTATTTTAGGACTTTTTATCAGCAACAATAAACATCCATATCCTCATTGCCAGGAACTCCTCTCTTGACCTTTAAATTAACGGGTCAAGCTCACTGAAAATTCAACCAGTAGGACCAAACAGTTGTGATATGTCAGTTTGAGATGAGGCTTGAAATATGTATTTATTCGTGAATAACTGTCAGACATCTTATTTATAAATCCATTTTATCTTTTTTTTCCACAGCTACTGATGAAGCTACTATTAATAAAATTTTGGGCCATCGAAGTCAACGACAACGTCATGAAATACGTGAAGCTTATCAAAGACGCTATAGAAAGGTTAGCTGGATTTCTTTTAATTCATGGATAATCCCCATCCAGGTATTAATGAAAAAAAAAACACGCGTAGTTCAGCGAAGAGTCTCTTTTCGGTGGCGGCGAATTCATTTTCTTAGCTGCACAATCGCAAAATAGATATGTGTGTCATTTTGTATGTATGTGTACATTAAGTTTGTCAAACAAAAATACTATTGGTTATGGTTATTTTAAATAAACAGGTAAAGATTGGTAATTGGAGTTACGTAAATACAAAATTAGAGTAGTAACAAAGGTAATGAGTTGTCACAAAGAGTTGTTAAAAAGAAGTTATGTAATAACCAGTACTCCCAGATTATCCAGTGGTTCTCTAACTGATATCAGCTCATGATGAAATCCTCCATGCAATCAAACAAAATCCTTACAATATATGTGTAAACCTTGGGCACTGTGATAGTAAGTAATTCCATATTAGTTTGTTTATTAGATATATCACACAGTTAAACAGTATTATTTACTGGATGACGACGCCTTTCGAACAAAATTTATTGTTCATAATCATAACATCAATTATAATCACAGGACTTTGAAACTTGAGTTTTATAGTTTTCTTTGTTCTCTCCTATTTGTCGTCATTGGGGTAGTAGAATTTTCCAGATATCAGGGACAGGTGATGAATCATTCCTATTACATGTGTTGGCAGTTGATTCGATAAACAAGGCTTCTGTTATCAATCTCTCTATCCATTCAACCTGTGACATTAGATTATAAAACTTTCATCCTATCCCATCCTATTGTATGGCTGGTTGTGTGTAACCGCATGTAGTGCTATGGCTGAACTATTCTCTAGATTCTTTATCTTATTCGGATCAACCAATCTAGATTTTGCTAGGTTTTTATGTTCGGCTAGTCTAACTGTCCCCGTTCTACTAGTCAGACCTATGTATTTGACCTAACAGTCATTGCAGGCAGCGTATTAGATAAACTAAATTGTTTTGTTTTGAAGGCTCCACAGGATCGATCCTGTAACCGACAAAGTTTGTTTCTAACTGAGTTTGTGGGTTTGAATGCCACTTTTATTCCTTCCTGTCTTGTTAAGAATTCTGCGTAAGGTGGTTTCCGAGGTTCCTTCCTAGTATGGAATTACTGTTGAGGATTTAGGTTCCTTATTGTTGGTGTCGTCATTAATATTACTCTTATTATCATTATTATTATTAGTGTTATTATAAGTAGCATTCAAACCCACAAACTCAATTGGAAACAAACTTTGTCGGTTAAAGGATCCTGCTATGGAGTCTTTAAAACAAAACAATTTAGTTTATCTAATACCCTGCCTGCAATGATTGTCAGGTCAAATACATAGGTCAAACTAGTAGAACAGGGGCAGTCAGACTAGCCGAACATATAAACCTAGCAATATATATATATATATATATATATATATATATATATACAATACTCGTTTATTTATGTCATCCAAACGCGTCAACGAACATTTATCTTCATGGTTTTATAAAGGAGAAAACCGATGCCCTCGCAGCTCGATCCTTGAACATTTGATCGACTCTGGACACCAAGTCAAACCAGAAACAAACTTCAAAGTTATTTACAGAATACAAGGCAATTTTGCTAAAAGTGTACGGATCAAACTTCTCCACATCGCAGAAGCAATGGCAATTCTTCTGCTAAATCCTGAACTCTGCATACAAAAGAAATTCGTTCATTCATTGAATCCACAATGGATGTAATCTTTGTTAATTTCAGTCTTACTAATTGTATTATTTTGTCTTTTGCATTTTATTATTTCACATCTTCATTTATATTATTCTCTACCCCACCCTTTTGTAGTCTCTATCCTCATTAACAATGTTGCTAACTTGACCCACGTCCAATTTCTAGTCAACTATGTTACGTCATCCGATTAACTTCTTATTTTCAACTGTATTATTCTCTAACCCCAACCTTCTTTAATTTTAACCACCACTCATTAACACTGTTGCCAACCTGACCTACTCTAAATTCTACTCAACTGTATTACGTCATCCAATTCACTTAATCAATTCTATTTTATTTTCTACCTTAACGTTTGTCTCCAAGCCAAATAATACTTACATTACATAATTATCTAAACTTTATAAATCTAATGTACACACACACACAAACAAATTTGTATATATATGCGATTGTACAGCTCAGTGAATGAATTCGCCGAAAAGAGACGCATCGCTGAACGCCTTGTTTTCTTTTATATGACTGAATAGGGATTTTCAAGTTAGTTAACTACAATTTCCGCTATACATTTCCACTCATTATAATTCTTTGGAACCTTATTAATATATGTGCGTAAAACTTGAATACTGTGGTAATGAGTAATTTCATATTACTTTGCTTATTAGATGTATCACACAGTGTTAAGCAGTATTATTTACTGGATGACGATGGCTTTCGAAAAAAATTCACTATTGCTCTTAATCATCAATACATATATATATATATATATATACAATACTCGTTTTTTATGTCATAACTATTTATTTATTTTTCTTGTAAAGGATTTAGTCCATGTGTTGGCTTCTTCAACTAAAGGAGATTATGAAAGTCTTATTAAAACATTGTTTCGTGGAAATTTACAAATATTGGCCTACGATTTATATAAAGGCATGAAAGGACTTAGTACTAATACAGATGTACTCAATGAAATTATCTGCTGTTGTAATAATGATGAAATACATATGCTGAAAAGGGCTTATCATGACGGTAAGTACTTTTTTTTCCATGGAATAAAAAAAATGTACTTTATTACTGATAAATGATATTGTTTAAAAGAGTCTTGAGTTGACGCGGTATTATTGATGTAATTGATGCTGGTTGAAAGTCATTATTATTATTATTATCAGTGTTCCCTTAGGTTTTGACTGAAACAACAGGGCTTTAACAGTAAATCTCTTCTTTTTTTCGTGTTCTTTGAAGCCGTCTTCAGCCACCCCTTTCCCAGATCACGTGTGGCCAATACCAAACTCGTCGTCTCTGATTCCGGTTCCACTCTGCGACCTAGCGCACAATATCACGGTCTCCTTTGGTATGTGTTAGATCCATCCCAGCTTCCTTCGATATATTTTTGTTGACCAGTAGGTTCAGTTCTGGTTGGTTCAATCCTACAGTCGCTTGTTGCTAATTCTTTTACTGACCAGTCATCTAACCTTCACAGTGGAACCAGAGAAGGCAGCTTTTGATAGAAGTCTGCATCAGGCTGTTAGAAATATTTTGCATGACTCATAACAGTAAATCTGTAAGGCATACAGAAGCACTGGTTTTATACTATAAAATGCTGAAAATCGGAAACTTATTCCTCATGCTGAGTGCTTTTAAGGTTTTGGTTTAGTTATACTCATGTATTCCGTCTTCCCTTATTTGAAACGCTATTGTGTAGATAAATGTAGGAAGTGATTCTACTTGAATTCCTCATGCTGACAGGGATTAGTGCCTGACGTTGATGGTGTTGTTGTTGTTGTTGTCGGTTGTTTATCTTCACCACCTCCGTCCTCTCTAATGTTTGCTTGAATCCTCCCTTTCTTCACTGTCTGCTTCTTTTGTTAGTTTATTTTAGAATTCGCTTGTAAGTCCTCAAGTTTTTATGACATTAGACATAAGTCATCCACGAAGCACAGATCTTCTGCAGTCTTCTTATCAGTCCAGTGTATTCCCATCGTTTCGCCACTTCCCACAGTATCCAGAATCGAGGCAGTCTAGTAAGGAATATATTCGGCTATAACAAGAAGCCTTGACTTACTCATGTCTTCAATTTTAACGCTTAGCTGAGTATTCTGCTGCGTATCACGTGACATGTAATACTGTCTGTTATGTACTCGTCGTCAAATTATTGCTATGTACTGGTCGAGAATGTAATAGTCCTGACGCAAGAAGGCGGAAATGAGAAGACCACTAGGTTTGCGATGATACTTCTATTTTCCAAACACAAGGAGGATGCAAAAGTGGTATCACACCAAAGTAGTAAGTCACACAAGATTGTGTGAGCGAAATATATATTACCATCCAGACAAGTGTGTGAACAATCAATAGACAGTCTTAACATGAATGGCTAGTTATAATGAAGTATCGATCCATATATACATAGCGAAATATAGCAGACATGTCAACAACAACCATATATGATATATGTCACCAAGCAACGGACTGTCCACAAACACTCATATTATATATAATATAAGAATATACATTGTTAAAGGAGACAAGTTCATACAAGTGAAATAGTCACAGACTAAGAGAGCGAACAGAAAGAGAGACCAACATACACACACATAAATTTATGTGGATACATATCACCTGATGATTAGTAGGATGTTTACCTGGGGGTTTATCTGGAACCTTTGGGCTTGTTGTTGACGTCTGTCGTTTCGTCTGCTGTTGGGTTTCGGCTTCGGCTTCGTCCGGAATTGTCTGACATTTAGCTTCTGACTGCATTGCATAGCGAATTTAGTGGCATCAGCCGTGCAAACGATCGAACAATCAAGTCCCAAAAGATTAAATCACTCTTGGTACGTACAATTCCTGTGAATTTGGTATTGCGAAGGAAACGGAACATTGAGTTCCAATAGTTTGAGCGCCCACCACAGGCTGACAAGTGGGAAGTATTATATAGCTGTTGAATGAAGTTGGTAAAGATTTGGAGCAGTGGAAGTGGGTAGAAATTCAACCTGAACCAACAGCCTTCGAATTAATGGTTCAGCCACAAAATCCAACTGCTCACAGTGTGTGGCTGCCTGCGGTCATGGGAATCAACGTTTATTATCACACTAGCCACATGACAGCGTCTCCATCTCTTGTTAGTCATAGACATTTTGAATTAGAAGAAGAAAGGCAAATTTTTAATTAACGGTAAGACTCTCTGAGGTAACCACCGATTCGACAGTCTATTATTAATGTAACCAGTGTAACAGAAGAAAACTATATAACTGTTAGTGGTATTATTCCTCCGGAAACTAAGTTTAATCTAGGATTTCAAGAACTGATCTCCTCTTTACTTTGTTCTCTGCAGTCTTTTATAGTTCGCTCCATGACTATCTATAATCTCTAATTTTTTTTTAACTGCCCTATCTCCTCGATATCGTCCCTCGACCCATGCTCAGGTTATTTTTCATCCGGCTTCCAGTACAGAGCCAGACGTGTGATGCCACTCAACTCTTCCCTCGATGTATATTTAAATCCAGTCCCTTCTACATGCCTGATGAACAACAGCTTCTTGATTGGTTCGTTGTCAAAGTTCTTTGTTACTGGGTTTTTTCTGGCCGGTTTTCAATCTGATCTTTCATAACGAGAGAAAAAGGCTGCTATTGATGACGAAAGTCTGAAGCAGGCCGTTCGGAATACTTCTGATGAGATGCGCACCAAGACTGTGAACTGTATATAGAAGTATTGACTGACTTGACATTATTACTGAAAAACGGGATCCTCTTTCATTACTTAGTGGCTCCTGTCAAAAATGTTAGTAATCAAATGTTCTCAATGAAATCGATCACCTTTATGTCTATAATGCATACCTTGACTTATGTGAGAGAGTACTGACCGAGTTCCATTGGTAAATTTAGTCATTATACCGTTTCTGACGAATCTAAAAAAGATGATTCTGCTATGTAAACATATATCAACTAGTTTGGACATTGAAATAGAATCATAAACTCATTTAAGAATTAGGCGATATGTTTTTAGTTGATAAATCATTGACCTTAAAGCATTTACAATAATGTCAACCTTCGTAAAATAAAAGCAATGCTATGTTGAAACTAGATAATGAAGAGTCATTCAGTCACTGTGAATGTCAAGTAACATGGATTGAAAAAAGTGAGGCATGTATTGTGCATGTTGCATAACCGCCTTCGATATCGAGTAGTAGATTTTGATGATTATGGCGCCAATCCACGCAGTGTTTGACTTCTGGTTTTAATCAGTCACCAGGATCCTCGGGGTGTTAAGAACCAGGAAAATGAAACTGTCGGTAATATTGAAATTTCACCTCTTACTACGAATGTTTTAACAATGTCTCTCGGTTAACCAGATATGTCTAATTTCATTGGTGATAACAGCTAACATGGTGAAGTTAATACGTGCGTTTCGTCCTAATTGGAATTCTTCATCTGGATGTACCTGAATTCATGTTAACTAAAACTGAAATGCTTTTTGAAACGGAAATTAGTCATCATATTTTTAGCTGAATGTCAATCATCCGACCGTTTAATTCATTAATTAGTTTGTTCTCTATAGAATGTGATAACATTGGACTTGAATCTTTATGAGTTCGTTATTGTTCACTAATGCTGAGAATGCTCAAAGTACAGTGAAACATTGATTCCACTGGATTTTGGAAAAATGACCTGAAAAATACATCAACTTTCATTCACATTACCATAACAGTGTGAATTATATTCTTTTCTTTTTAAGATCTTTGAGATAATTTTTTTCAAGTGTAGAATTTTTAGGGACTTTGATTAATTGATTGAAGGATTTCATAATGAGATGACATAGGTTAGAGAACCCTTGGAAAACCTAGACAGGGAGTACTGGACAAACAGCTGTTTCCTCCGTCCTAGTTTGGGACACTTCATCAGTGCGCACCCACAGCCAGAGTTCGAACCCAGAACCTTACGGTTGCAAGTTGAGTTATCTCATAGGCCATTAAGCCACTTGGACCCATTCCAACGACAAACCATTGAAAAACCTAACTAACTGATCGATAACTGATGTCAGCTCATAATGAAATCCTCCAACCAATCCGTGAGATACATTATTGTATGCTTAAGATGAAATCTCTTCATTAAATCTAATTTGAGAGCTTTCAAGTTGTGCGGAAAGTACTCATCGTTTTATTATTTTATTCTCTTTACAGTCCTCCTGGAAGAAGAACCTAAAAGTAAGTTAGTTTATAATGATTATTTGTGATTAAAGCAGTCAGATTTTACGATTAAAAAACTATATTACTCACAAGTAGTTGATTTATTAAATACTTCATTATTTCACCTTTTAGATTGCTCATGATTCACACTATGAGATGTGGTATATTATATAGGCACTTTCGTGTCGGTGGTGTAGCGGTTAGGATGCCTGCCTACCATTCACATGGTCCGGGGTTCGATCCCCGGCCACTGACTCACTCCTTTACCTCGCTAAGCTAGAAATAATGCTGGTAAAGAGGAAAGGTTGGGCATGAGGCTAGCAATCCTATCTTGTAAAATAAACACTGCTACAGAAACTTTAAGCCACTAGATTGAAGCTCTATGTTCCCCCGGGGATCGTTAAAGAATAAAAAATATAGGCAATTTCATGAAATCAGACACTTATTCTCCTTGATAAATTTGGGTAAAAAAAATAAAAGAATGGTTTGTGCAGAACAAGATGGTGTTGACATCAATTATTAAGAAAGTGCAAATAGATAACTAGGTGATGCTAAATAATAAGTTGCTTAATAAAGTACTGAGTACGACTCAAATTATAGAAATAAACACAAGCCAAATAACACAGTATAGCGAAATAAGAAAAAAAATTGTAGACATCAAGTTTCCACGGCAACGAAAGACTGATACTTCTTCTTTCTGAACATGTGAATCGAAGTTCAGACGTTTGACTATAGTTTCTGCAGCAAACTTGATAAGAACGGCATTTTTTTCTCTGTTGCTAATCCTAAAGCATCTCAGGATATCTATTTCATAATCTGTATGAACCAGGTGCATAGTCATAACACTGCTCCCCTTATACATAGACTTTTTGGTACATGTTCAGGGAAGGAAATCTGTCATTCTTCAAATGCTCTATTAAAGGGATCTAACTAGGCTTCAAGAAAGGTTCTGGCTAGTGAAATACTTAGTCAAGTTTATTGTCGTGTGACGAACACAATGCTGAATTGATTTTTTTTAAAACAGCTGCTCACAGCTGAAGAGAAACCGGTGAAAAAAGTCGATTCCATGTTCACAAAGTGCCGCTTTTAAAATTTTTCTTCTCGAGTTTACTAACAGTCAAATGGAAGATTTAATCGATGCTATTCCATGATAACGAATAATGAGTACTTTCAGAAATATAACATGTCGTTTACTCTCTGTTGAATCTTTCACCCCCCCCCTCTCAAATTTTGTTGACGAAATTGTCCTTTTTACGATTAGGTTACCGAGGTGTAACAAGTGCCATGTGGTGGCTCTGAGTGAATTCCATCAGTCAATTTGTAGGGCATTCGTCAAACTTGGTGACTCGCCATCACTATGCACTCCTTGAATTGATTTTGCACTGTTGGATGTAGCCAGCAGGAATCCCTATGTCCGCATTCTTCAGTAAGACGTATCTGTAACCTCTGAAATCAGAATCCATGGTACACAATACCACAGTGACAAACAATTCCAGTGTGTTGTTCTTGATCCCCGCCAATTACTTTCAACCATCAAAATATCTTCTTTGAATTCAAGATTCTTTTATTCTCGAATTAAAAATACTTTATAATCAGAGTCTAATGTATGAACTGATCATTTTGAGATAAAGCTAACGTTTGAACATTCGCTGATGCATACAAAAATGAATAAGTCAGCTTAAATCGACATGCAAAAGGATTATATTAAATTTAGAACAACACATTTAAGCCAACATTATTGTGGTTTCAATCAGATCTCATCATCAGGCTTAACTCTAATATACCTACATAACTTTACAAATAAAAATTCAAGTATAAACCAATCATGGTGGTCTATAGAATAATACGATGGTGAATATAAATTGTGCAAGTAGTCATAATAGCAGTAATGATAATATTAATAATAGTAATAATAATGGTCTTATCAATAATAAGGATGAAAAAGTGAGGCAATCTGTGATAACGCGAATAATGAAAAACAGGATGATTAAAGAAACAAATGTTCAGGTGGAAGTAGTCGATAATGGGTAGCAAAAACAAATGAACCGATTACGTAGTGCTAGATTCATTGTAAGGGAAGTAAATGAAACACGTTTTTATTGAAGATGTTATAAAATTAAGGGATGATAAGAAAGGGGTTGGAAATACACACCACCCCTTGTTTATATTATATTTCCAACCCCTTTCTTATCATCCCTTAATTTTATAACATCTTCAATAAAAACGTGTTTCATTTACTTTCCTTACAATGAATCTAGCATTACGTAGTCGGTCCATTTGTTTTTACTAGCCGTTATCGACTAATTCCATCTGAACTTTTGCTTGTTTAATCGTACTGTTTTTCATTATTCGTGTTCTCACAGATCGCCTCACTTTTTCATCCTTATTACTGATAAGACCATTATTAAGAAGACAGTTGCAGCGAAGAAAATTTTCTTTCCGATGAAATCATCATCTAGGCTGTACATTCGTGTATTTATATCACATGGGTGGGACAGTTCCAGAATAATTTCCGGTTAAGGGTCAAATTAGTAAAAATTAAAATTAGGAATTAGAATGCCATAATAAACAGGGGGATGGATAAAACAAACATAGTAGCATCATAATAACTAAGACGATTTACATTGTGCAATTAGGGGTTAGAAATGTAAAAATAACAAAATTGACAAGATATTCGGATAAAAAATCTAGTGGGATCATAGCTAATGTAACGAATAATTGTTTGTGAAATTAGCGATTAAATATGTAGAAATAATAAAATGATAAAATAGACAGAAAGTAAGGATATGAAAACATGGTAGTGTGAACAGGGATTAAGTGAAACTTAAAAAATAACATGAATAAACAGGAAGTTTAGATAAGAAAGGCGATGGGACGGTCATTACTAAAAAATTACCTGTTTATGATGGCCATAGCAGGGACAGGGGTTGGACGTATTTCTTTTGGATACAAAGTGTGGGTTTGAGATTTTGTATAGCTGGTACCTTAGGTATGCCCAGATGTCTTGATTTTACTCCCTTTGATAGGTTTGATTGAATCTTGTATATTACTTTGAAGGATTTTTTGAAAGGCGCTGAATGTCCTGAATTAACCACATGTTCTGTCACTGAACTATATACACGTTTTCGGTCTCCTTTTACTAGCCAGGCTGGATAGTGTTCACGAGCGCGTTTTTCAAGTCGGCGCATGGTACGGCCGATGTACTCAGCTCCACAAGAGCAAGTAAACTGGTATATGCACGTTGAGGTGGCCAAATGTGACAGCTTGTCTTTCGCGTTCTGGCTGAACAGTTTCTTGCAGGAAAACGTCAGTCGTAGGCTCGCGGCGAAGTATGTTTTCCTCAGCGATTTTGAGAGGCGTTTGCGAAGGATTTTTGCTTCAATATGACCTTTAAATTCTAGATTAAGCAGAAGTATTTCCTTTGGAACGGATTGGACTTGTTCGGAAGTCTTCTTAGGTTTGAGATTCTTGTCTATGAACCTGGGCGGGAAACCGTTTTCCATCAGGGTTTTTCGAAGATTACGCAGTTCCTCTCCAACCACTTCCTCGCTGCATATCTTCCGAATCCTCGAAGAAAGGGCGTATATCAGGTTACTCATTCTGCTCAGGGGCACGAAGCTTTGAAAATTGATGAATCCTCCATTCCACGTAGGCTTTTGTATATGGACCTTTTTGGAAGAGTCGTCGGCGATTCTTGTCAGATGGACGCCGAGGAAATGGAATATTCTGTCGGATTTAGTCTCAAGTGTAAAGCAGATGTTTGGGTGGGCATTATTGAAGATTTGAAGTAGGTTTTTTAAATCACCGTTCTCATCACAAATAATGAAAGTATCATCGATGTATCTCTTGTAGAGATGGAGGTCGTTGATAGTTGGTGATAAGACGTTATTCTCTAAGCTAGCCATAAAACAGTCGGCTATTATTATTATTATTATTATTACTACTATTATGACCAATTGCACAATTTATATTCGCCATCGTATTATCCTATAGACAAAACACCATGATTGGTTAATATTTGAATTTTTATTTGTAAAGTTATGTAGGTATATTAGAGTTAAGCCTGATGATGAGGTCTAATTGAAAACTCAATATGTTTCGCTTAAATGTGTTCTTCTAAATTTTACTATAAGAATATTCATTATGCTTTATTACTGAAATCCCTAACCACTAATAACTAAGGAGTGCTGAAAATCTGTTTCATACTAGATCACGATTGTTTATCAGTACGTATCCATGACACACCACCAAAGATCCATCCCACAATCTAAGTTCCACCCAACTTGATAGACTCCGCTGATCACGGATTCTCACAAGAACTTCAGGCTACTTTATGCTGTAGTCAGTCAGTAGTGAACACTAGGCTAACCTGCAGTTGATAGCAGCAATTCGATTTATTTAAAAGTCGATCATGAACTGACTTCAGTCGGAGACCTGCTAAAGACAAGAGAATACTAGATAACCAACTGTCTTGTCTTTTTTAGGAACTCCCACCGTCAGGGATAGAAACAGGAACCTTCGGGTTGTGGGGTGAGGTCCTTGACTACTCGGCCCTTTTTTGAACAAAGCCAGAACTACAGATTTAGCAGAATAATATGCTACCATCTTTTATTTCATTGCCTTCTCGTCAGCTGCTTACAGGCCAAAGACATTATTAAATATATCTACAAAAACAGTTTTAACATACTTGCGCAGACAGTTCATTTTAAACAAAAATCAATCGATCACTATATGCATACAGTAATAATATATATACATACATGCATGTAATATTAAACACTATTCCGAACAACAATAATAATCATACACAATGGAAACTTTTCAGCGTTTCGCATTTGGATGAAAGAGTGATAATATGTATCTGAGGGAGCAGTTACATTGGAAGGACAGAAAGAAGAAGGGTATATCTACGGGCGCCCCAGTGCCCCCACATTTGGAATGATAAATAAAAAGTGTAAAAAAAAAAAAAATTTTCTGAACATGTACCAAAAAGCTTACATCTAAAGGGAACAAATGCTTTAAACAGTGCCAACACCAGGCATCTCCTCGACACGGGTCGCTAGGTGGACGTCGAAAAGTCTTTGAAAGTTATCAATAGACAGAAGAGCTCAATTCTCCTTAAGTTTGCTGTAGCCATTTCTATCAAGCACCTGAAACCTGATTTATGCGTTCAGAAACAAGCGGTTATCAGTCTTTCTTTGCCCTGCCTAGTAACTGAATATTTTTCATCTCTCTTTCATCCGAATGCGAAATGCTGAAAAGTTTCCATTGTGTATGATTATTATTGTTTTTCGGAATAGTGTTTAATATTACATATATATATGTATATATATTATTAGTATATGGGTATGTTGATCGATTGATTTTTGTTTAAAATGAACTGTCTGCGCAAGTATGTTAAAACTGTTTTTGTAGATATATTTAATAATGTCTTTGGCCTGTAAGCAGCTGACGAGAAGGCAATGAAATAAAAGATGGTAGCATATTATTCTGCTAAATCTGTAGTTCTGGCTTTGTTCAAATTCATTAAAGCGAATAAATGTATGAAATTTCTGAAAAAACAGACCTCTTCTACCGGAATTCAATGGCTCATAAACTCTAAATTCTATTAATTTTCCGTAACTTGAATAACAAACTTTACCTTTCTTTCTAATCAATATATATACATATATATCTATCTTCTACCAAAATATAGAGGCTGACTCACGTTCACTTGAAGGTGATGTTATGAAAGAGACGAAACCACCATATGAGACTTTATTAACAGCTATACTACAAGGTAGACGTGATGAAGATCCACCGGAATTAGTTGAAGAAGCCCTGAGAACTAGAAGTACTTCAAGGCTGGTTAGTCGAAGTCAAGTTGAAAGAGATGTTGAAGATTTATATTTTGCTGGAGAGAAGTAAGTTTAGCGCATAAAAGTTCTGCATAAAATAAGAGTTTTGTTGAAATTCCCTTTTGAAGGTGTATGTATAAATCTCATTCATGCTGTACATTGTAGTTAAGATGCAGTAATCTACACCAAAAGAAGAGAAGGAAGTAATTCCAAGTTCTATTATAGATAATGTGCCGTCTTCAACTGATTATGATACACTGTCAGGGGTTCTTCTAGACGCTATCGATGTTGAACAGAGCAGGTTTGTAGGTTACTTAACATGGTCGTAAATTTGTATGATGTTCTTCCCGCAAATGTCCAAATGTAAGTATATCAATATGATAAGTGAGGAACTGTCTGGAACTAGACTTGAAGGAAGTTTCCACACTAACGGTTGAAACTTATCAAGGATATTCTTACAGCCAAAATGTATGGTGGGCATAATGAAGGCAGTTTTCAGGTCTGTCTGCATTTAGACTCCGGCTAAATTCAATGATTAGTATTATCAACATTTATTATTATATCCTTTAATTCCTAGAGAAACATAGGCCTTCATCCGCGCGTCTCCATTGCGTTCGGTTCTCTGCTAGAGTTTTCACCTGGCTCCCGGTCTGCCCACACGCTTTCACCTCCTCCTCACACGACCTCCTCCAAGTCACCCTTGCATTGTCGACCAGCTCGCCGCTTCCCTTTTGGGTTCCACTCGAGGGCTTTTCTAGTGATTTCACTTGATGGTTTCATCAGAGTATGGCCAAACCACCTCCATTTATTCCTGCTTATTTGTTGCACAATCGGTTCCTGTTGGGTTGGTTCGCTCCCAGAGATCCCTCCCTGTTGTTGATCTTTTCTGGCCGGCCATCTGGTATTGAATCGTATTGAGCTAAGACAGTTATCGATGAAGCTGTCGTATTTGGCCACTTCAACGTGCACATACCAGTTTACTTGCTCGTGCGGAGCTGAGTACATCAGCCGTACCTTGTGCCAACTTGAAAAACGCGGTCGCTAATACTATCCAGACTGGCTAGTAAATGTGCATATAGTTCAGTGACAGAATATCTGGTCAATTCAGGACATTCAGCACTATTCGAAGAATCCTTCAAAATAATTTATAAGATTTGATCAAACCTATCAAAGGGAGTGAAATTCAGATATCTGGGCATAGCCGAGGCACTAGCTATACAAAAACTCAAACCCACGCTTTGTATCCAAAAGAAATACATCCAAGCATGAGTTCGACGACTTCTTGAGGTCAAGATTTCCGTCTTTCCCTTTGATACCGGTCCACCTAATTACCTGTTTATCAGAAATTCCGATGGTTTCGACTTATTCATTACTGTCCCTCTCTCTGTCCTTTACATGAATGGAAACTGGCTACACCACTTAGTCAGCTCGGCTATAAACGATTGAAACGACACTCCAGTAATTAGATAACTTCGATCTGGTTGATGTGTGTGGGTGGTATCTAACTTCTCATATCACTCAGTCAGTATTATGTATAGCATTAAAAGCATATTTGGAAGGCAGACAAAAACTAACCGGAATCTCATTTTAGTGACAGGATAAATTTTGTAATTCCGGTGTTAAACTACTCATTTCCTTTATCAGTAGTATCTATCTCACTCTGTTGTACTATTTCCATATCAGAATAAAATTATCACAATTAATCATTATTAATAACTGATTCAATGATACAATTTGGTTGCCTTTTTTAATTTTGTATAATTTAGACGATCTGGCAAAGGGGATCATGATACATTCATTAAAATATTGACAAAACGCAGTAAATATCACGTTAAAGAAATTTGGGATCTGTATTTATCAGTAAGTGAGATTCAAAAGATTCAAAAGAGATTGACAGTTGTCCCTGATCTGTAAACCAGCTGCACTCTTATTTCTCATACAGAAAGCAGTATACTGTATATAGAGGTGAATCTTCCTCTGCTTTGCTTACTGAAGTTGGATTCCCACAGGATGCTGACTTTCTCCTCTAATTTTTTCTTTCTTCTTACACGACTTGCAACTTTTGGATGAAATTAACTATGTTAAAGACCCGATGAACTAACTTTCTCGTTACCAGTTACATCCCTATCTATCTTTTCGAACTTAATGGCTTTTGTTAGACATCAGCCAGTCGTCTATGCAAGCGTCTTGCTACAGGCAGGAGTTTCCTGGAGTGAGGTCTAGTGAGAATTTGTGACCAATGAGATGCATCCAGTCAAGTGTGAGGGTTGATTTCCCACCAATGACATTGGTCGGTGGCCGCGCTAAAAATCACGAACTGGGTGACTTTAGAAATCATGGACTGGCCATTGAATCAGGTCCCAGTAGCTGAATGGTATTCAAGGCAGCTGGCCTTGTAACCAGAAGGTTCTGGGCTCGAACATTGGCGGCGGGTGTGCACTGCCGAAGTGGAGTCCCAAAATAGAATGAAACACCTGTCCAGTACTGGTTTTTAATGGTTCTCTAACTGATATCCATCTGTGGTCAAGTTAGAAAAAAATTAATGGTCTTACCTTAAATCCATCTAAATATAAGACGTTCAACTTCCCCTTCACTCATAAACATGATCTACGTGAAATCTTCTGTTTACAAGATGCATATAGCTTAGAGGTCTCTGGAATAGAAACAACGTCAAGCATAAATTGCTTGAGGCGTCTTTTATCCTCTGACCTTTCTTTGTCATTCAATATGTTGTCGATTTCGAAGAAAATGTTCCGTCTAACCTGCTACAATAAGAAGTAAAGATCATTAGAAATCGTTCAACCTCTACTTTAGCAAGTGTTTGTTTGTAGCGATTTGATTGGCTACAGGATTTCATCATGAGCTGACATTGCGTCGGTGGCACAGTGATTAGGACTCCCGCCAACCATGCACATGGTCCGAGGTTCGATCAACCACCGACGCACACCTAATATCTATGGTCGGCCTGCAAAATTTGGGCTACCGATATCCATGCTGAAAATTCCATACTAGTACCAAAGATACAGTGTAGAATCAAGCTGTAATCAAAAATAAAAAATAAATAGCTAGAGAACCCTTGGAAAGCCTGTACGGAGTACTGGACAGCTGTCTCGTCCTATTTTAGGACTCTTCAGCCATACGCACCCACCGGGATTTGAACCCAGGGCCTCCTGCTTACAAAGCGAGCTCGTTTACCATTAAACCGCTGGGACCCGATCCAATGGCCCACGAATTCTAACTTCTGCCAATTCACGACATAGCGCGACCCCAGCCAATGTCTTCGGCGAGTATTTGTCCTCACACCCGACCTGCTGCACCCTACTAGTCACGACTTCTCACTTGAACTGGAGCAGGGCGGGTGTGGGGACAAATACTCGCCAAAGACAGTGGCTAGGAAACGCGCTGTGTCGCGATTTGGCAGAAGTTAGAATTCATGGACTGGTCATTGGATCGGGTCCCAGTGGCTTAATGATATACAAGCTCGCCTTGTAACCAGGTCCTGGGTTCGAATCCCGATGGATGCGTATTGCTGAAGAGCCCTAAACTAGGACGAAACAGCTGGCTGTCCATTGCTCCCAGGTTTTCCAATAGTTCTCTGATTGATGTCAGCTCATGATGAAATCTCTACTTCAGCAATTTGTTAACTCTTGCATCTTACTTATGGCTCTCTATTCCTCTGAAATGTTCACTAGTTTTCAATGATTAATGTCGACTAATATTGACTGGTGACTGAATGCACATTGGAATTAATTCGAATCCCTGTACAGAAAAAAATTCAACATTCAACTTGAGAACAACTCAAAAATGTATCAACTACTTACCTATCTTCCCTGTTCACACTTTTTAATAATTTTTAACCTATCGATCAGTTTTGCCCATTCTTGTCAATTTATTCCATGAAATCTATATCAAAACTATTGAAATATTTAGCAGTATTTTAAACAATCCGCCTAATTTTTTTGTTTAAATCTGCGTTAAATGTTTCAATATTAATAAATGATAGTTTCTCAATTTTATACTTTTAGAGATATCACGTTACCTTAGTTGAGACGGTATCGAAAAAATTCTCAGAACCATTAAGATCTGGTCTGAACACAATGAGTAGGTGAATAATGTTTAATTGTTTTTTTTATGTGTGCATGTCCGTGGCTGACTTGTAACGAAAATGCAGGAGATTTAAACTTAATAATATTTCAGTAGGAACAAATATGTTACCTGATTCAGTGAAGAAAAGTTTTACTTATTGATGAAGTTATTGTCAGAGCCTGTACAATCCCATTTGTCATTACTATTACTAATCCCACGGATTCCTAGGTGACCTTCACTGACAAAGTTCAACAATAGGATCCCAAGAGATGCAAACGCACGAGTGTTCTTGAGCCGACCAATCATAAAAATCAGGAATCTTTGCATAAAAATGACGTATATTTACAAGATATCTAGGGACCATTGTCTCAACTACAGGTAATAGGAACGGACGAAGATGTCAAATCGAGCGAGAATCGGGAAGGCGAGCGAGAAACACATTCATCAACCTGAAACCAATCTGGAAATCTTCGTCACTCAGCCAACATCAACAACAAAATTCGATCGTATTTTCAATACAAACGTCAAGTCAGTCAGTTCTTCTATAAGGATCAGAAACTTCACGGGCGGGTCACAAAGAATATTTCCAACAGCCTGTTGCAGAACTTTATTAACAACTGTCTCCGCTCTATACTAAAGATCAGATGGCCGGAAAGAATCACCAACAAGAAATTATGGGAACAAACAAAACAAGAACCAATCGCCAACCAACAAATATGCAGGAGATGGAAAGTGGAGATGGATTGGACACTCGCTAAGGAGGCCACTGGGTGACATCGCGCGTCAAGCCTTCGAGTGGAACCCGAAAGGGAAGCGGCGAGTGTGACTTCCAAGGGTGACATGGAGGAGATCATTTGAAGAGGTGTTGAAACAGAATGTACTAACATGGATGGATGCAGGTGAAAAGTACAGCAGAAGACAGAAACAAGTGGAGACGTGCATTTGAAGCCCTATGTTCCACTAGGAACTCAAGGGAACAATAATAATAAAATGCATGAAAATACATTACACAGGTCATCTTCCCCTGACATGACTTAAAGCTACGTCACACTTATAATGAGGGTTATCAGCTGATAAGTAAGGCTAGCTTCTATACATGTATTCACTGAGATGAAAAAAGATGAGCTGTTTTTTGTGAATCGTCTATCTATCTTATCCTCTTTGCGGTCTTCCCCAAAAGCCTTCGGTTGAATTACTATGATTTCCAGTAAGACGATAGACAACATCTTACAAGGGAAATGTGGATATAAAACCAATTAAAATAAATGACATCAACTGTTAATCTATCCGTAATCGTAACCCTAACCTTAATCCTGACCCTAACGAGCTATTAACACATTGTCCAAACAGTACTTAAAAACATAATCAGGATGAAATTTCTTCTTTAGTTAGTGAATAGCGTTGATATTTCAGCTATGATAATGAAAGGTGCCGTTAGTCAATGACTAGCATGCACTCAAGGTCATTGGAGCGTTCACACTCCTGGGACGCTATTGATGAACTTTTAGCCCCATAAGTCTTCAGCAGTACACCGCTGTTTCCCTCAGTTCTCTTCTCTCCAGTCATTTTTAACTGGCTCCACTAATTAACTGGTGGATGGTGACTAGCAGTGAGATTCAGAATAATGTGCATTTCATCCTATTCGGGACTCATCATCTCAGTGTCCTGCATTCCTCAGTGAGTGATAGTGTTCCCACCGAGACCGAGCACTTCGGTCCAGTCAGCTGATGGGAAAATCTAAAAATGAATTAAATAGCTTCATGATTTTCCATAAGCTTTTATATCCTTCCTTTCACACGACCACCTCTCTATTTCACCTTCGGATGCTCAACTTCCATTTCTATAAGGAGTTTCACTAGACTGATGGCCTACTTGGTACGCTTTTCCAATCCGTCTCCATTTTCCTCTGCATATCTAGTGGACGACAGGTTCTTCCTTGGTTCCTTGTAGCTAATCCTTTCTTCTCGACCACGTGATTATGGAGCCAAGGCAGCCATTGAATAGCAGTCTATTATTAATGAGTAATACAAGTGCGTAAGTGCGCCGGTGGTACAGTGGTAGACTGCTCGCCGACCACGCCTCATGTGGTCCAGGATTCAATCTCTAAATGACAAGGCACTCCCCAATCTCACAAAGCCAGTAATAAGACTGTTGAAGAGAAAAGGTTAGGCATGACGCTAACAACCCCATGCTGTAAAAAATAAACACCATTGCTACCGAAACTTCAAAGCTCTAGCTTGAAGCCCTCCCTTCATTACACTGGAAACGTTAAAGAAAAAATACGATTCTGTGACACAGTTGTGCGAAAACTGGCCAAAGATAGTTTCGAAGGATAACATGGGATTACTCAATAATTACCAACACAATGAAATTGACAATTACGAATCTGATGGGGTGAAAATTGTTATCAGATCAGAGACAAGCTGGTTGAGTGTTTCCACTTGACAAGTATGAAGAAGGCGAGCAAAAAACATCTAACTTGTAGAATCTAGAATAAGAATATGCAAGAGTGATAAATAATGAGCTGTCTCCAAGATAAACAATAAGAAAACCTAACCTTGAGGAACTCAACATCCAATCACAGCAGACTTGGCGTGGGCGGGGCTATGATTCGCAGATATACGGTCTGACCTTCAAAGAAACGGTCACAAATAGATGACAGAATAACTTACAGCAAGAAAACAACCAATCAGAAGGCGTTGTTTCTCTGCTAACAATAACGCTAATAACAATGTACATAAAAATATATATCTGTTGATTTTCTCAAAAAAACGATCTGTTGCCTGGCCCTTGTCTTCTGTCGTTGCACTATGGTAGACTAAGAAACTGAACATACATTTTTTGTACACAAATCTTAAGGTTATCTTGACGAATTGATAGCCCCTCTGTCATACACAAGTGTCAGAACTTATTACTCCTTGTACCAGTTAGCCAATTAAGTCAATAAAAATGACGAATACTGATGCAAATATGCGTCGGTGACACAGCAGTAGAGTGCTCGCCGACCACTCAGGTGGTTCGGCGTTCGATCCCCGGACGCAGACACACTCCTTTACTTCACTAAGCCAGTAATAAGATCAGTAAAGAGGGAAGGTTGGGCATGAGGCTAGCAACCCCACCCTGTAAAAATAATTACCACTGCTACAGAAATGTCAAGCCTCTCTCTTGAAGCCTTATGTTCCACTGAGAACATAAAGGAATGAAAAAGATGCAAATATGAAGGATCAGTCACTCTGTGAAGCTTGTTGGGAAATAAAGAATTCACATAAAATCAATTCATACCAGAGTTTATGTTGAAAATGTTACCTAGGCAGACAATGAATGCTTCGCAGTTAAATCGGCCAACTCAGAGAACAAAACCACGCGAAGAATTTCATAGAAATAGGCTGAAGTGAATTGAATTGTCATACGCTAATGTCAGATCCCATGTTTGTCTTCTTGTTTGTAAGAATGAAACTGTGTGCGTGTTGGATGGTTGAAGACAATCAACAGAAAGCCCTATCTGATCTAAGTTTCATGCTTGATGGTACTTGTCAGTAAAGAGTATCTGCCAGGATCAAGGAACTCAGTCTGCATCGACATTAATCACTAGGCAGACGTCGTACGACATTGATTACTTACTGCTGGCCTATGAATGTTGAATTTCTGAGCGAGGTCTGTTGTAAGCCCTAGTGTCTCAGCGATTTCGTCTGTGACTGTGGCATAGAATTTTGACCGTTCGAATCTCAGAGGTCCTAGATTCTTTCTTTCTGGTGAGTTTCAGTTTAAGGGCTTCTTGTCAACCATTCGACATCATGATAGTGGCCACATTGCAAAGATGACTGTTGGAATTCAGTCTGCAACAGCACAATGGAAGGACTAGACAGACACACCTGCGACACTACTGACGAATCAGTGAGACTGTTTGTGTGGGTGTGTGTGTGCGCGCGTTGGTAAACACCTTTTTGTGATCACTAGTCCTACGAAATTATTTTAAATGATTTCACATATATTTGTATGTTTTTCTTGTCTTACAGTTATGGCGCTTAAAGATTTACGTCTTTTATTGGTATGTCAGCTGTATGATAGTATGTATGGACTAGGCACACGAGAAGATACACTGATACGTATTGTCTCTCTACGTTGTGAGGTAAGTACACACTATCTCAGATCAATAGTTCATTTCTCATTCATTTGAAGCTCGATATGAAAAAAAATACTGTTTTAAGCGTTAATCTTCGAAGTATATCGATAGCCAGGTTGTGTTTACTTTTCATGAGGGGAGGGAAGTTATAGTTTCAAGCTCAACCTTCCATCTTCACCGGAGTTACTACCAGCTAAGCCAAGTTTAGGAGTGTTTATAGGCTGAGAATCCAACCTGGACCCGTCTGTACATGTCTGATAGGCATTCGACCATCTGACAAACATAAATCTGACAAGGGTATCGGTAGCTTTGAAGGGTTTTAAGTCCCTCCTGAGATTCGAAACCTCGTTACCTGGTGCTGCATTCAGATATGCTGCCACCACATTATTCAGGTTCATATCAACAGTAATTATAATTAACATCACTAAGCAGTATTAACTATTCGGTCAAATTTTCAATTCGCTGATTAATTCTTAGCTTATAATTTATACTATTTGTGGTGGCAATTCATCACACTTTTCTTTGAGAACTGAAATTCATAATCGGTTCGGTTTTCTCTCTCTTTGTTTGAGCTGAGTTAAAACCGGGTATACTACCTCAAATGGTCGGAGTGACCTTCCGGCTGGATGACTACTGAATAGTCTGTTTAATGTCGGTGGTATACACTAAGTAGTCTTTACCGTCTTCCTTTTTCACGCTATCAGTAATCCATCAACAGTTTAAACAAAAAACCACAACAAAACATAATCAGGATCTGTTCGACACGTAGATCGATAGATCTTAGTTTCAAACATATTTTAGCAATTTCATTGTAAATGGGTTGTACCCTTAATTATAGTTAACACATAACCTCAAATCCATGCAGATTGGCTCGTAGTTTTATCGGACATGCACCATTCACGTGTCCTTTACAAGTCTGTTTAGTACATTTGTCTCATGTGCCGTCTAAGTGATAGTTTACTAACAAGATCCAAACTTTCAATGGAATGGTTAGTAGTGGAAAAATAGGGCCTCAACAGCACATCTCCACTGCCTTCTATTTTCTACTATTCTCTACACCCGGGTCCACGTTCGCCCTTAGTTCCTCATATCTTTTCTCCTCACCAAATGATCCCTTCAATACCACCCTCACACTGACGACACACTTGTCGATTCCCATTCGGACTCCACTCAAGCGATGCTCCATATTTCGCAGGGTGTCATTCAAAGGCCTTCTCTTGAAATGCCCAATCCATCCATCTTCATTTTCTCATACGTAATTCTTGAGCGATTGGCTCTTCGTTGGTTTGTTGCCAGCCAGCCGAAGTTCCTTACTGCTAATTCTTTTTCGCAGTCTGGCTGGCCATTTGATCTCCAGTTTTGTTTGTTCCAATAGTTTCTTGTTAGTGATTGTATCCGGCCCGGCCATCTGATCTTCAGTATAGATCCAGCGAAGACAGTTGTTGGTTGATGAAGGTCTGTAACAGGCTGTTGGAAATATTCTTTGTGACCCGCCCGCCAAGTTTCCGATCCATATAGAAGAACTGATTGACTTGACGTTTCTATTGCAAATCCGACTGGATTTTGTTGTTGATGTTGGCTGAGTGACGAAGATTTCCAGATCGATTTCAGGTGAATGATGAATGTGTTTCTCGCCTTCCCGATTCTCGCTCGATTTGACATCCTCGTCCGTTCCTACTACCTGTAGTTGAAACAATGCTCCCTAGATAAGTGAGTGAATGAAGTAACCTCTTTCAAATCCCTCCCGTTGATAGTGATTGACGCTGGACGTTCCTGCTTTTGTTGTTATTGGCTGGTTATTTGCATAACCTCCGTCTTGTCTATGTTCGCCTGGAGTCCTGTCTTCACCGGCTGCTTCTTCGACCAGTTTGTCGGTTTTCGCTCGCTTGTAAGTCTTCGATTTTGTGTTTGTGACATCAAACAAAAGTCATCCACGCGCGAAATCCAGGTTTTCTAGGTTCTTTGCGTCAGTTCAAGATATCCCTGTCTTCTCGTTTCCTATTGTCTGACGCGTAATCCAGTCAGTCCACCACAATTAGGAATATCATCGTCGGTGATAATAAGCACCCTTGTCTGACTCCTGTGTTTACTCCAAACGCCTGTCTGAGTTTTCCGTTGTGGATCACTTGACATGTGCCGTTGTCGTACAGCTGTTGAATAAGGTTGATGAATATTTAGGGCACTGTACGCCGTAGCACTCGAGTATTTTCCAAATTACTTCACGGTCAACGCTGTCTGTCGAAGGCCTTCTCAAAGTCTATAAAGTTGAGGTACAGGGTTTGATTGCCATTCTATGCTTTGTTCTGTGATGATGATGATGTGTAGAGTTGCAATTTCGGTCAGAACATGATTTGCCTTTCCTTAATCCACCCAGTGTGTTCTAGTCGGGGTTCTGTATCAAGTGCGTCCTTTACTCTCTCCAGGATGATGCGACTCAGGATTTTACTTGGCGTCAACAGGAGCATTACACTAAACGCTTCTTATTGATTTGTAGAAATTCATTAGCAGAACTAATTGCATTAAATTAATCTAAATCCTTTCTTACATTTATTTACCATCTCTCTCTCTCACACACACACATTTAGATTGACATGAACACGCTGAAGTCAATGTATCGTGAATATTTTGGAAAGCCTTTGATTGAAGCTGTCCGAGAAGATACTTCTGGAGATTTTCGTAAACTACTTCTTACATTACTTGGCGAATGAATATCAGAGAATGGAAATACAAGTCGAAGAAGAAGAAGAACAGGAGGAAGAGTTGGAAGCAATTATTGTCTATAGGTTGAACAATAAATAACTAAATAAATAAATATTTCAATTTGACTCTGAAAAAGACCTTATTAAAAGTAGAGTACACAGTGGAGTTTTCTGACTTTCTGTTTTCTTCTTTCTGTCTAGTAAACTTCCAGTGATGTCTGTGTTGTTTTGTATTTTGTGTGTTTTTTTTTATTTCGATTTCCCACCTATGCAATAAACTATACTATGTCTTTTAGTAAATTTTGATATTGTTATGACTGCGAGTATTGTCATCTTTCATTATGGATATTTCGTTTGTTTGTTTGGTTGGTTGGTTAGTTAGTCGGTTGGTTGATTGATTGATTGATTGATTTTCCCGCAATTTTGTGAAAACCTTAAAACAAACATGAGTGTGCGTGTTTCAAAAAAAAATAAAGTGTTATTATTATACAGAAAAAGTTTTCATTCTCATACAATGATTCCCTTTTATGAATTTGAACAAAGAAAGAAAAAAGAAACTTTGGAGCAGAATAATCTGGATCCACTTTATTTCGCTGGTTCTCATCGGTGGTGTACACCTGAATTCATTATTAAAACAAAAAAGTGTACAATTTAAAAAAAAACGTTTGTCCAATAGTAAGCTTATTGTCAGAGCGTCATAGTGAAACAAGGCGTTGCGATTTACAAGGTGTCTAAAGTGTTACAACATATATATATATATATCTTGTTAGAGAGAAGTTTCTTGAAAAAAAATTAATTAACAGTTGTGTTTTTGGGGTGGTAACAAAAAAAATCAGTAATGGTCACGTAATTAGATAAGATAAGATCAGAATTTTGGTGCACATGAGGTCAGATGAGAAGTTGATGATGTAATACAGTCAGCAGAACTCTGAAGATCAAGAAAAATTTTCTCTTAAGAGAATCAAGCGAGTCTCCTCTTATAGGGACCGAATTATTTAAGCTCTTCAGTTGCCGAACACCTGATTGACACAGGACACCCAGTAGATGTGCTGGAATCATTCAGAATAATTAACAGAGAATGTACCTCAAGTCTTCTTAGATTCGCTGAAGCTTTAGCAATAAAACGATTGAAGCCTGGCTTATGTGTCCAGAAAGAATCCGTTGTTGGACTACAATTACGCTAGTGACTCATTTCTTAGTAACTCCTTGTTTTCTAATTTTGTAAATTTTGTTAACTTATCTATTCACTCCACTCCCCTCCCTTTATTTTTGGCTTGACTCTCTTAAGAGATAATTTTTCTTGATCTTCAGAGTTCTGCTGACTGTATTACATCATCAACTTCTCATCTGACCTCATGTGCACCAAAATTCTGATCTTATCTTATCTAATTACGTGACCATTACTGATTTTTTTTGTTACCACCCCAAAAACACAACTGTTAATTAATTTTTTTCAAGAAACTTCTCTCTAAAATATATATATATATATATATATGTTGTAACACTTTAGACACCTTGTAAATCGCAACGCCTTGTTTCACTATGACGCTCTGACAATAAGCTTACTAATGGACAAACGTTTTTCTAAAATTGCACACATTTTTATTTTAATAATGAATTCAGGGTGTACGCCACCGATGAGAACCAGCGAAATAAATTGGATCCAGATTATTCTGCGCCAAAGTTTTTTTTTCTTTCTTTGTTCAAATTTTGATTCTGATATTATTATCATTATCATTCCCTTAATTTCTGGCGAACTTCAGTGACATATCAGCATTTCATGGAAAATTCCCATTAGGATGTATATATAGAAAATCAAAACAAGTGGTGATTCAGAGAAGAGACTCTTTTCAACGAATTTATCATCAAGCTGTACAGTCGTATATATATGGTTTATCAGAAGTTATATCCGGTGAGGGAATTGAATCTTAGGTGTGAATGCACAAAATAATAATAATCATATGAAGTTCAATTAAAACTAAAATGTTTGTGATTATAACCATAGTTCAATGTCAAGTAGCACAACAATTAATGTCATATATAGAATAATTAATAGAGTGAACAGAACTTGAAAAAGGGTGTGCAATTATAGGATTAGTAGACAAATCGAATAAAATAAAAAAAAACATTACGTAATATTGTGTGAAATTCGATAGCATAGAATTTAGGGTTGTAAAAAAGAATTGATTTAGAACGACAAGTGGAACAAGTGAAATAATAATACCGGGGACAGTTCAAAGTGAGAATAGTAATAATAACAATTGACGTAATAAGGAAGAGAATACAAATTGAATAGACAAAATGAAAAAATGAAAATTGGTAGAGCTAAAATATGACTGGGGATTACCATATTTTAGCATAGAGGGATTAAGACCATGAAAGTTGGAAGGGTTGAACGAAATTTATCTGTACACAGAGATCTGGCTTTTCTATTTCGATAGCCAAAGCTTCAGTAATGCTGATGAGTCGGGTACTTAGCGATTTCGGTAAATTACTTTTTGCCTTGTAGATGACTTTGAAGGCGGAGGCTGTCGAGATAGGCCGACTACTATCGACCAGATGTTCAGTGATGGCAACTCTGATTGCTACACTTCCCCCTCTTCGTAGCCATGTAGAGCGGTAGTGTTTTTCCCCCTCTCGGACGAAATTCGAGTCGGACGACCGATATGCCTAGCTCCACACCAGCAGGTGAATTGATAAACGCACATATAGTTGGCCAACTGCAGGATCTTGTCCTTCTAGTTATTGAACAGTGATGGTCGACTAAAAAACGCTATTCTCAAAGATGCATCAGGGAATATCGTATTTAGGGACTGTTAGATCCTTCTTATAGTGATATCGGAATCTAAGTCACCTTTGAGTTCCAAGCCCATGTACAGTATTTTCTTGGAGACGGATTATAAGTCACATTTCACAGGTTTCGACTGTATATTCTTGTCGGTAAAACATGGCGGAAATCCATTTTCTGTTAGAATTTTTCTCAAAAGATTTTACTCTTCCTCCACAGTATCAGGACTACATATGCGCCGCATGCAAGTAGCAAACGACCGGATCGCGTATGGTTTTCGACCAATGGGTACCCAGTTATAGAAATTTGTCAGATGACCAATCTACAAAAGTCCTCTATAAATTGATCTCTTCAGAGTTCCGTCTGTCATCCCAGATAAATTCACATCGAGAAAATGAATACTAGACTAATTCTCCATTTCAAATGTGAATTTTGTCGCAGGATGGCAACTATTGAATACATTTAACAAATTATTCCAATTATAATCACTATTACAAATAATAAGGGTGTCATCTACATACCTTTTACACATTTGAAAGCTTTGGATTGTTGGCTTAAACTGACCTATTTCTAGACTGGATATAAAACAGTCTGCAAGGGAGAACCCATTGCAATACCATTCTTCTATCTGTAGATTGTTTCATTGAAGGTAAACAGTACATTCAATGTACATCTCAAAAGCAGTTTTTTCAAATCTGTAGTGGGTATTCCTATATTCAGCTTGTCGCCTTCAATATATTTGGATATAAAGCAAATGGTTTATGTCAGTGAAACGTTGGTAAATAGGCATTCTACATCCAAAGACATCATATGCATTTGTATCCAGCATACATTCATCCAAATTGGAAGGTGTCACGACGGAAATGAACAGATAGTTTTCCTTTGACGGGTTCAAGAATTTCAACTAACCACCTAGCTACTGGATGGTAGGGGAATCCAGACATATCCAAGATAGGGTGGAGTGGCAGGCCAGCTTTGTGCATTTTTGGCAGACCATAGAATCTTGATACAGCCTGATAATAAATTCATTGAAAAGAGTCTGTTAGCTAAATCATTTGTTCTGATTTTCTAAGTCAAAATTTCACTACACTCCTTGCACAGGCAACTTTAGTTGGCTTAACGATTGTCTATAAGCATTCATATTCTCCTCACTCGCGATCTCCTCTATATCACGCTTGAACTCATGAAAAGCAGGTGTCTTTTATCCAGGTTTCATTCGAGGACCTGGAGAGTGAAGTGCCTCAACGATATTCTCAGAGAGTAACCATACCTCCTCCTGCGTATATGTTGGATAAGAGGTTCTTGATTAGTTCACCGCCTGATTTTCCTTGCTGCTTATCGTTTCTTGTCAACCAGCCATCTGACCTTCAGTATAGAATGAAGGCAGCTGTTGATAAAAGCCTGAAGCCTGTTCGAAATACTTTCGGTGACACGCCTAGCCACATAGAATCATATAGCGTTAGTGACTCACTTGACCTTATTGTTGGGAATCATAATATTGGTCCATATTCTGAGTGAAGCCGGTTCTCACAGTAATTGCATTTTCAATCCATACTGCGTGTAGTTGAAACGATATCGTCAAGCCAGATATGTGAAACATGCGACTTCCTTCGTATTCCCCCTACTTGTTATTGCTGTTCTTTAAGATACTTCATCAACTCTGTCTTCTGTCTATTCACTTGATGTCCTGTCTTCACTAACAGCCTCTTCTACCAAAACTTGTTGGTTTTCATATGTAGACTTTCTAGTCTGCATAATGTTTAAAGGAAAATCATCTGCGAATTCCATATCTTCTAGAGTCTCCTGGTTAGCTCAGCATATTCCTGTCTCATTGCTCCCTGTGGTCTCGCGCCTGATCCAGTCCACCACAATCAGGAATCTTATCAGTAATATTAAGCAGCGTTGTCTTATTCGTGTCTTCATTTCAAACGCTTCACTGTGTTTTCCATTGTAATTGCGTTGTAATCACCGAATACTTGTCTGGATACTGTGGTTGACAATAATGATGGCTCAAAAACTTCCTAGTTGACTTTTCTGGCAGCAATCGGTAAACAAGAAAACTCACGCGATAATACTTAATAATTACAATAATAGTAATATATACATATTGAAAATATATCGGGAAAACTTATTGTACAACACCAATGACCAAGTAGTAGACATCTAAATGAAATGCTGGAATCTGATTGGTTATCCGATAGACAAATAGTGAATTCTGATTGGTAGATTACCAAGCTGGTCGACAGCCACTCTTCCAGATTTACTTTTCAACTAACTAGCTGACGAGATCCATCTTTTTATAACCTAGAATCATTTTAGGATAGACAATAATGTCAGTTCTGAGTAGAAGATATGACTTCAGCAAGCACATCAACGTTCCACTCCCTTTCTTACCGTCACTTTCATTTGGTTCAACAACTGCCCACAAGCTTTCGTCTCCTCTTCACCTAACCTTCCTGTCACTTGAGAACCTGGTGTATAAGGTCACTTGGCGTATGTTCATTCCTCCTGCATATATGTTTGCTAATAGATTGCTGACTGGCTCCTCGGGTTCGGAAGTTCCTTGTCGCTTACCCTTTGAGTATAGAGCAGAGGCATCAGTAGTGTCTTGCTAGAAATCCTTTTGGTAGTATTCGTTGAATATTCCCACGACCAATAAAAATAAAAGTACAATAATTTCTCTAGCCTCAAATACCAGACTCACATAAT